AGCCTTGGCAGCTCATGACAAGAGCCTCAGGTGATTACTGATGTCATAAACAAGAGTGTCATTTTGTTAAGTCAACAACAGGAGTCACTGTGCACTTACTCCCCATGTAGGATCTCTGTCCTTAATGTGTTGTACTATGTGAATTAACGATATAGCTAGTACTCAAACAGTACTTTATGCTTTGTGTTTCTGTGTGGGTTCAAACTGTTGAAATCTTTACGTAGTATAGAGTTGATCTTCTGTATATAAAGATAATTGAAAATGAATCTTGATGAAGAATGGGATGGGAAAGGGAGTGGGGGATTGGATGGTTGCAGGTGGGAGGGTGGTTATGGGGGGGAAAAACTGCTAATCCAAACGTTGTACTTTGGAAATTTATATTTATTAATAAAAGTTTAAAAAAGTGTTATTTTTATAGCTGAAGACTGAGGGATATGTCTTTATCTTCCTGCTTGATAGAAAGACCTAACAGTGGTTCCTGTCTCTGGAACTTCAAGGCACCCACAGGGAGGCAAGAACACAGCTACCTGTAGGTAAAATAGCTATTTATTCAGCCTCTTGTTGTGTCCAACGGTTCTGTGCAGGTACCACTATAATCAGCACACCGTTTGTAACAGGCAGGATTGCAAATCAAGTTATATTTAATGTTACCTGATTATGTAAAAACTGTAAGGTGAAAATGACACATAATTCTTTTTAACATTCCTAATAAACAATTCAGCAGGAGATGTCAGGCACAAAATCTTAGTAAAATATGACACAGCAAGAACAATAATGTCATTCGCACTTAAGTTTAACTTGTCATAATTTGTTATCAATATACAAAGACAACAAACATTTTAAATATTATATTTACTAAGATTCTGGCAATAGCTTTATGTAACAAGACCACTGCATACCATCCTGCCACTCAACTTGTTTATGGTTAACTCTCAGCTTCAATATGAAGCTGTTAAAAAAAATGAAAATCTTGCTTTGTACATGCTAAAGATCTTGGCATGCATGCCATTAAACAAAGTAATGAATCTAAGAAAGCAAGTATAAGGAGTTAGCAAAGGCTAAACATTGCAGCCTAAATGAAATTTGTACAAAAAGTAACTATCACTGTTTAAGTAAAATTTTCCTGACTGATTAAAACTTGACGATATAAAACATGCATTTTAAAAACTGTAGCTATCAAATTCAAAAGTTCCAGGATCTACTTGAAATGCTTCCTTTCCAAAACCAAAGTGAAGTCAAAATTAATTCAAATGGCATCCATTTTGATGTTAAAAATATTCAATTCTTGTTCAAGTGGAGCTAAATCCCAGAGACTTGGGGGCTTTCTCATGCTGCAAAGGACCTGTTTCTCTGGAGAGTCCCAGGATGAGCTCAGCAAAGGGCAAGAGTGCTGTCCGCAGCTCTGACCACCCCATGAAGCACAGCTACTGTGCGCACAGAAAGAGGATATGGAACTAGCCATGGAGCTCCAATCCAATAAGAATTGGTGGTATAAATGCCATCTTCACTGTTAAAATGATCATATTAAATGTTAAAGGCAACAGATAGATAGGTCTAAGTTTAAAAGGGATGATATAAATAGCATCAAGTACCCGGTAAAAATAATAGAATTAAAAAGGAAGGAAGGGCCAACATGGGAAGCAGTCCACACAGCAGACACCTAGAATGACTTTCTCAGTAAATAACACTCTTACCTCAGAATCAACCCTTCAGGCTTCCTGGTTGGGCTGAAAGGCCTGCTAGAGCATTTCAGGCATGAAAAACCAAGACTCTGACAAAAAATATCCTACATGGAGGATCTCTGTGAGACCTCAGAGGAAAGAAAGGGTCATCAAAGAAGGAGACACTCTTCTCTGAAGGGAGACAAGAGCATCCACTTTGCTTATGGCCATGTCCAAATAACGACAGTCTATGTTCACAAAAGGCTTCCAGAGCCTTGGCAACCCATGTCAAGAGCCTCAGATGATCACTGACGTCATAAAAAAGAGTGTTAATTGTTAAAGGAACAACAGTAGTCACTTGCTCCCCATGTAGGACCTCTGTCCCTATTGAATCGTAATATGAGAATTGAATGCAAATTCTTTCCCCAAACTGTACTCGATATGTTGTGTGTGGGCATGGGTGCAAATTGTTGAAGTCTATGATTAGCAACAAGTTGGTCCTCTGTATATAAAGTCACACTAAAAATGAACCATAATGAAGAAGGAGATGGGAGAGGGAGAGGGAGGTGGGATGGGAGCTGGGGGTGGGGACAGGTATGGGGGAAAGAACCACTATATTCCTAAAGTTGTGTCTATGTAAAATGCATTCATTAAATAAAAATTAAAAAAAAAGAGGATGTGGAGGATGAAAGACATGCTATTCTGCTAGCTAAGGAGATTGTAATCCCTCCCCCAACCCTGACCCTGACCCTAAAAACTCCTTCTCCAGGTCAATAAAATTACAATATGCTTATCTACAGAGTAAGGATTCTGGAATATCAGTGGAATCCCCATTTTAAAAGTTTTAACTAGATAATATTATGCATGTTATTGTCCTTTCTTCCATTCTTACCAGTATGTGCCCATTTGCAAAACAAAAATGCTAATAATCAGTGATAGTCCTATAAAAGATGTTAACTCTGTTTAGTAATTGACTGATCTTGCTCTAACCTTAAAATTTTGTGATTATTGACCTCTGTTGCATTTATTCTAAAACCCCCCAAAATTATCTAGCCGTCTCAAATATCAACATTACCCTGGTGTATTCACTGCTGTATGTTCTTTGTTGCTGTTTTATGCCTTCATATTAGCAAAATATGAAATTCTGTGGAAAAAAAACTTTAAAAAACCCTTTGATCTTAAAAAAAAAAAACACCCCCCCTTCTGTAGCAGGAAACAAATTGCTTGTTCTGAGAACTTTCCCATCAAGAATTTAGTAGAAGCAGGTATACTTCTATCATTTTGACGTTTTTGTTAATGTTTCCAAACAAGGTACTTTGAAATCAGAATCACTTCTTATCGTTTTCATATACTTCTGATGCTCTTCATCACATTAGTGATGAGAAATGAAGTGTAATTCCCCAACCCCTGCCTGCAAGAGCTAAGTAGGATCTTACTGTAAGTTAAAGGGAGTTCTGCCCTAACTCATGGATTGTGAAGAATGAACTGCTGTTGGGTTTGATTGACTGTCGATGGACTGTGGTGTGGCGTATTGGAGGCTATTGAATGCAACTTACAACGCTTAATAAAAATCTTTATTCTTTTAGTATAAAAAAAAAGTTTTAACTAGAATCATCTGGTCATTCCTGACTACATCTTATAGACGTATCCAGAGCGTTTCTGTTGTTTTTATTAGATACTTCTAGTCATTCTGTTAGCTTCATTCCCAAGTATCTTAACCACTAGGTATGACTGCAGTGTCTTATCTCCCAGAGTCATCAAGCACTAGAAGAGAGAAAACAGGTGTCAGGCAGCAGGCAAGAGTCGTGGCCCTTTCACACAGTGGCATCTGAGTGGCTACTGCAGGAATAATTCCAAAACCAAGGAAGTTCATGCGTTTTAGTTGACTATGCCATAGTTTTCACAGTTGAAATTTCCTTACACATTGCACTTCATAGGGATCATGATTTGTCAAGTCAGGACTTGAACTTGCAGCCTTCTTTTTCTTCTTACTGTGTTTCTTATGCTTCTTTTTCTTTTTTTTTTTTTCTGTTGCTTTTTCTCATTCCTCACTGCTTTTCTTCCTTTTTGCACGTACCTCCTCAATGTAATCTGATTCTGACAAGGATTCAGATCACAAAGGCTTATCTTCAGGTTACATCTTTCTTTTTTTAGCTGAATCCTTTAATATCCTTTTCTTTCTCAGTTGCATCCTTTAATTTCTTTTTCTTTTTTAAACTGTCCTTACTGATTCAGTTTCTGACATGGAGCTTTCAGGAGATGAATGTGGATGCTTCTCTCTCTTTTTTCCTTGTTTCTTATCCTCATCTTCACAAACCAAAGCAATGCTAGAGGAATCAGAGCTCAATGAAGAAGATGAACACCTACCTGATTTCTCCTTTTCTTTTTTCTTTCTCTGCCTTTTTTGATGAACTTTCACTTCTATTTAATTTCTCTCTGTGGTTTTCTAGCTGTTTCCACTCCACATTCATTTTTTTCTTCAAATTCAGGCAAAGCCTTGGAGCCTTTCTTTTTTTTTTTTCTAGGTGCTCTTTTACTTCTTCCCAGGTAGGTCTTGGCCGATTCAGATAATCCTGGATTGTTGGCTCTGAAGACTGGATTGGACCCCTTGATCTGGCCATTGTTATTGGATTTATACAGGCCACCTGATTGTCCCACTTACCCATGGCACCCGCCTAAGCCAAACAGCCAGATGCGGAAGGAGACCAGGCCAGAGACGCCTACCCTCCTTTTCAATTTGGCCTTATGTCTTGAGTTTAGACTCTCAAGCTCAGCCCGGACCTGCCAGCCATCCTGCATCCCCAAACATTTTCAACCCAGGGAGACATGGAGGACACTGAGACAGATTCTCTCGCATCCCAGAAGCACGCTCCTCACCACAGGGTGTCCCATGACTCTGCTGGTGTCCCAAGGAGAGCCTGTGTCGCAGGAGTAGGACTTCCCTCCCACAGGTGTAATCCTGTTGTTGAGGATGTTGCCGATGGGAGCTGCGGTGTCAGAGATGAGCAGAAAGTTTCATGTTCCTCTAACAGAGGTCCTGTGGAGAGGATTGCACTTCCCTCAGCACCACCAGCTCAGTGCTTTGCCAACTGGGCTAAAAAGGAAGCTTGAATAGACTGACAGGAAACCCAGTGTCTGCATGATCTCATGCAGTACAAAGAAGATTCCACTACAAGACTATTTCACCTGTTTCTGAGACAAAGAAGGTGCTCTGTGCTTGAACCAGGAATCAAAATCGGCATTTTACCCAATCCCACCTTATGCCTCATTTCATTTCTCAGAAGAAAGAAAATCATTCATCACTTTGGTTTACACTTTGTGTAGCCCTATGGAACTTACCATATTTCTGTAGCTGGTTGGCCAGGGCATAGGCAATAGTCTCAGATACAGGAAACCTCTCTTTGAGATCTTCAGACTCCTGTTGACTCTTTACCAGCTGGGAGCACAGGTCCTGGATTTCCACCCTTGAATCTGATGGAGCCCTGGAAGACCCTGCCATGCTGATGTTTTTGACAGAAGAGGTAGATTCAGAGGCCACGGAGAAGAAACCCAAACATGTGATGGGTTAAAACAAATGAAGTCAAATAGCTTCAATAAGGACTTGGGGGTGACAATAACTGTCAGTCTTACTGTGGAGAATCACTGATCAAGTGATTGATCAAACACCCAACAGCACCTGGAAGTCCTTAATCACACAAACAAGGATAAAAATGCCAGGGCCCAGAGCTGATAGCACTGCCTGTAGTAGGCCTCTACCAGGGTGAGGAGGTAGGGTCCAGCATACCAGGTAACAGTCTGGAGTTTCCATAACAGAATTAGAACTTGGAGGGCATCATGGAATCTTAAGTACCCCTGCTTTTCAGTTGGCAAAGCCAGGCTGACGCCAAGGCATCCTCATCTTTTCTGAGGTACAAGTGAGGGGGAGCACCTCCTCATCCTCCAGTATCAATAGTTGTGTACTCTTGTGTGCCAATTCCATAGACAAATTTCTTTCCACAAACATCTAAGCATATTCTTCATGTTCCTTCTGAGTGTTGAGAACAACATCAAGGCAGAAAGGGTTTGCCAACAAATCTTACTTTCTTCTAGGCTATTAAGAAGTCACCTCGGCTGGCACCGCGGCTCAACAGGCTAATCCTCTGCCTTGCGGCACCGGCACACCGGGTTCTAGTTCCGGTCGGGGTGCCGGATTCTGTCCCGGTTGCCCCTCTTTGAGTCCAGCTCTCTGCTGTGGCCAGGGAGTGCAGTGGAGGATGGCCCAAGTGCTTGGGCCCTGCACCCCATGGGAGACCAGGAGAAGCACCTGACTCCTGCCATCGGATCAGCACAGTGCGCCGGCCGCGGCGGCCATTGGAGGGTGAACCAACGGCAAAAGGAAGACCTTTCTCTCTGTCTCTCTCTCTCACTGTCCACTCTGCCTGTCAAAAAAAATAAAAAAAAGAAGTCACCTCACCATTTCTTTAAATTAAAATGTATCTTAAGTATTTTTCACAAATGGAAATTTTAAAGAAAAAGAAGAGGGGAGGGTGTTTGGCATAGTGGTGAAGATGCTGCTTAAGGACACTTGCATCCCACATCCAAGTGCCTGAGATGAAGTTATGGCTTTGCTCTAGGTTCCAGTTTCTTGCTAAACACACCCTGGAAAGCAGCAGGTGATAACTCAATTACCTGTACCCTTACCACCAATGTGGGAGGCCAAGACTGAGTTCCCACCTCCTGGCTTTCGCTGTGCCCAGACCCAGCTGTTTTGGGTATCCAGGGAGTGAATCAGTGTCTCTTGGCTGCCCTTCAAATAAATGAAACAAATTTTAAAAATTTTAAGATTTATTTATTTATTTACTAGAATTACACAGTTACAGAGAGAGGGAGAGAGGGAAAGAGGGAGGGAGAGAGAGGGAGGAGAGGAGAGGAGAGGAGAGGAGAGGAGAGGAGAGGAGAGGAGAGGAGAGGAGAGGAGAGGAGAGGAGAGGAGAGAAAGAGAGAGCGAGAGAGAGCGAGCGCTTCCATCTACTGATTCATTTACCAAAGAGCCACTGTGGCCAGGGCTGAGCTTGGAACTCCATTAGGGTCTCCCGCATGGCTGGTAGGGGACCAAGTACTTAGGCCACCTTCTGCTGCTTTCCCAGGTACATTAGCAGGAAGCTGCTTTGGAAGTTGAAGTGGAGCAGCCAGGGCTCAAACCTGCACTTCATGTGGGATGCTGACATCACAAGCTGAAGCCTTATCTGCTGTGCCACAGTGCTGACCACCGAACAAATAAAAACTTATTTTAAAAAAATAAATGTGGCTATGTAAAAGTATAAATTTTTCATGATGTTTTTCTTTGGATCCTCTCCTTTAGTTTCCAAATTCATTAAAAGTGTGGGACAAAATGCAATGTGTAATACCAAATGAATACAGAGTTTAAAATATGGCTGTCCCACCTCAATATTCTTTATGCTGTGTCCCATTTTTATATTTGCCTCTTATCTCCCTGGGGCATCTCTTGTCTTTTCATTAACATAAGTCACATTTGAGATCCATGCATCCTACCCTCTTCTTCTGTCTGGATTGCTTTGTTTCTTTTAATATCCCCAAACAGAACAAGATTTATTCTTGATGTAATACACAATAGACTGGGTGAGTTGACCTAACACCATCAATCTCTGGTCATATTCCCCTATCAGCATATGCTGAGATGCAGGTCTCGAGTCCAGGGTGATGATGACCCACAGTGAACGTGAGTAATGGGGTCTAAGAGAAACAGACTGAACAGAAAGTAAGGGAGAGCATTCTCTTGAATCAACTCCTCACTTTCTCAGCTTCTGCCTCCAACCAGGTTTTATGAGCCTGAGACCTGGGAGAAAGCCCTGCTGTTTAGCTTAAGCTCACCTGCTGGATTTGCCTCACTTGGGGGTGCAGGGAATGTGACCAGGTGCAACTGAGCATTCAAACCAAAGTGAAGGAAGGAGGCCTACAGAAAAGATTTTTTTTTTTGGACAGGCAGAGTTAGACAGTGAGAGAGAGAGACAGAGAGAAAGGTCTTCCTTCCATTGGTTCACTCCCCTAATGGCCGCCACAGCCGGTGCTGCGCCGATCCGAAGTCAGGAGCCGGGTGCTTCCTCCCGGTCTCCCATGCGGGTGCAGGGACTCAAGCACTTGGGCCATTCTTTACTACCCTCCCCCCCCCCACCCCAGTCACAGCAGAGAGCTTGACTGGAAGAGGAGCAACCAGGACTAGCACCCGGTGCTCCAACTGGGACTAGAATCAGGGGTGCCGGCGCCACAGGTGGAGGATTAGCCAAGTGTAATTAGCCAAGTGAGCCATGGCACCGGCCCGGAAAACATTTTGAGACCTCTCCTCTCACCCTACACTACCTTCCAGTTATGCTGTATGATGATACTGGTCTCGAGATGCATCTAGGGTAGGGCTTAAGAAAATTCTTGATTTACATTAGGAAAGCTACTGTTGGGTAAGTCAACAATACTTTATACAATAAAGTATATACAGAATGATTGGAGATTGTAGGCTAACTATTTAGTGTTTATCCACTGCACCCAAATTTTGGCTGCATACATTTTCCAATGAGGCAATGTTTCTCTGAGCCTGCTCATTTGCATCTTGGGAACCTTCGAGAAAGTTTATCAATAAAATTGTGCCTTTGTATGAACTCTCTCTGCTTCTTCTTGCACCTCCCACTGTAGGATCTGTTTTATCTTCTCCCTAGAGGCATAGATACTTTTCCACTTTGTGCAAGAACATGAAGGCTTTCAGTTTCTGAAGTGAGTGGTTCTCTGTTATTTACTATAGAGGAGAACCACTTGGGTCACTTGGGAAGTGTCTTTTCTCTGGAAACCATTGGGTGCTGCTAAATGTAGAGAATTCTCTCACCACATGATACTTAACCACAGTCATGCACTGTGCTCCCCCAATTTTCACTTTGTGAACAGAACCTTGACATTTTTCAAACCTCCTTGCCCAATTATACATTATTTAGGATTTCCTAGTGCATCTCTGCACAGCTTGTCTTGATTTTGCTACTATCTAATATGTTCTGTGATGTGGACCCCGGCAAGATGACTCACATAAAGAATGTGTGGTCCTCCATGGTGACAGTTGACAGCTAGAGTACATTCTCCAGGTCCTCTTTGCTGAAATTCCCAGGTGGTAGAAAACTCAGTGCCGTCACTGGGTTCCAGATCACCATCTTCCTTTTCACCTGGTTGGGTGTGTTAGTCTCTGCTGTGATGTTGTCACCTACCAAGATCCCCATCTGGATTTGGAACAGATGTGCTCAAGCTCGCCAATAAGGATTTATTCTCCTTCTCTGATTCCCCAGTGTAACTGCCATAGTGATTTTATACACATGTTCAGTAACACATCATTGAGATCAACTCAGAATCCAAGTTGTCCAGATAAGTAAGCATGTGATGCTGGGTTTATATATGAATGAAGTAAACAGAGGGACAGATCAGATGTTTTGATGCATTCAGTTTCTAACAGTACAAAGTCACTGTGTTTATCAGCCTTTCGAGTTCCTGAAAGCTGGGATTTTATCAGTCCTCACCTGTCGTCCTACTGCAAATGTTGCAGTTGTTTTAGAATATTCTACCTTAGAAATTTCAGCTGAAACTTGAGGAAAAACATAGAGTGGTAGCATTCTAGTTCAATGATCAAGTTATTTAATTTAGATGTGGAAAGAGAACAATGAAGTCTGGAAGGCATTTAACTTGGCAAGAATGGAGAACACCACTGTAGCACTGGAAAGGATGATCTTCTAAGTAGTATCACATTTGTCTCTCTCTATCTCCAGATGGTCAGGACATAATCTGCAGTTACTGGTACCCACAGTTTCTTCTGGAGACCTGGATACTGTATTCTGCCTTGAGCCAACATGGAGCCCTGGTGTTGATCCTATCTTGAGGAGTCCAGAGTCAAAACAGTTCAAACAGCTGTTAGGACAACAAGAAGGGGGACACAGACAATCACAGGGCTCATCCACACAGTGTTATCTACTTCCTGAAGGCTGCACCATCACAGGTATCTCATGACCTGCTGCTTACCAGACTGAGAGCTTTGTGAACACTGGAGGACTTTTTATTTTGCTCATCTCTGTATTCATGGTTCCAGGTGAAACACTGGGGAAGTTCTCAGCAGAGTTCATTTAGTGAATGAGTAAAAGTGGTTGCAAACTTCCAGTCATCTCACCTGTGTTCCTGTCTGAAATGTTCTCTTAGGTACACTCCGATTTCTTCAAGTGTGTAGCAAATCCTATTTCTCAGAATGATGCCTGGCCAGCACTATGCAAATCCTGTGACACACCTCTGTGGGAGCTTTGATGAAAACAGGAATGCTCTCAGGAATTCTCTTGTGGTTTACCTGTCATTACAAGAGCTGTCCCCACCTTGTCCTATTACACCTTTGATGGCCACATAACAATTGTTTAGAACTGCCTCATCATGTTGAAGCTATTTTCTCTCTCTAATGGCTTTCGTTTCTTCGGGGAAATTTTACTGCTATCTGAAACCCAAATTCCAAATGCAAGGAAAGGGAAATTAAGCATTCAACAAACATATGAGACATATTGTATGCAAACCTTTCTCAATGAAAGGGCAGAAGAATGGTATCTGTGTCACCGTTTGTGGCACAGGGTTCCCTTCACCAGGACCTGCCTGACCCAAGACAGCCAGTTTAAGGTAAGAGTAGATTCTGCCAACACTTCTCCAAAAATCACTTGTCCCTCTAGGCCCCCACTTACTGGTTGGACTGCAACAGTGAGGGCAGCTCTCAGGATAAGGCTCTGGGATCTGGCCAGGGCCTCCTGGCCATCCTCATC